GGGTACTCAATGGATGTGCTTTATCCATATACAAACGCTCTAGGATCTTTTCGGTATAAGTTGATTGATGGACAAAAATTCCATCTTTCATATGCTCAATTTGTAGACCAAGACAAAATTTTGTCTTTCCAAGATCTTTCATTCCAAACTCTTTCTTCAAACAGTCTACTATTTTTGGAAGTTCCCCAGGAGTTCCAATAATATTTAGATCATCAACATACACAACGATTATAACAAATTCAGATCCAGACCTTCTTATAAATACACAAGAATAAATTGGATCATTCTTATACCCTTCTTTCAGCAAATACTCACTCAGGCGATTATATCACATTCGCCCTGATTGTTTCAATCCATATAAGGATTTTTGAAGCTTTATTGAACAAGTTTCCCGAAAACTTTTATTAGTTTCAGGAACTTTGAGCCCTTTAGGGATTTTCATATAAATTTAGTTGTCTAATGTGCCATACAAATAGGCTGTGACAACATCCATTAGACGCATGTCAAGTTTTTCATGGACTGCCAAATTTATAAGATACCTGAATGTGATTGCATCCACCACGGGAGAATATGTCTCCATATAATCAATGCCATATCTTTGCGAAAATCCTTGTGCCACAAGTCGTGCTTTATATCTAATGACTTCATTTTTATCATTTCATTTTCGCACAAAAATTCATTTGTATTCCACTGGCTTTATTCCTTCAGGTGTTCGGACTATACGTCTGAATACTTCACGTTTTTCAAGTGACGCTAATTCTGCATGGATAGCGTCTTTCCATTTTTGCCAATCATTTCTCTGTCTACATTCATTGACAGATCTTGGTTCAAGATCCTCATCTTGTTGCATTATTTCAACAACAACATTAGAAGCAAAAATATTGTCGACAATAATTTCGGTTTCACCTTTTTGCCGTAGAGACATAACTTATTGAGATCTTTTCGTTCTTATTATTTTCAGGTACCTGGACCTCCTCTGAGGTCTTATCATTTGTTATGTCACAAAGCTCTTATCATTTGTTATGTTACCTCCATATTATGATCTCCTAGATCAATTGCTCCTTTTCACTTTCAAGGATTTTTATCTTTGGAGCCAATTGGTCTACCACGTTTCAAGCGTGGCTTAGACTCATTTGCATTTATAGATTGTCCAACCGGGATATCAAACCGGGACATCAATTCGAATAGCAGCTGGAATATGTGGCTTAGTCACCCTGGGTAGGTTAGCGAATGCATCAGGTAGTTGATTTGTAATATTTTACAAATAAATTATCTTTTGAACTTCGTGTTCACATTGATTTATTCGAGGATCTAAATGAGATAGTGATAATGCATTCCAATCTATCTCCTTTTGCAACAGCTTATTTTCTCCCCCTAATATTGGGTATACTGATTCATCAAAATGACAATTAGCAAATCTTGCCGTAAATAAATCTCCAGTTATAGGTTCCAAATATTTTATAATAGAAGGAGATTCATACCCAACATATATCCCCAATCTTCTTTGGGGTCCCATCTTTGTACGTTGTGGTGGAGCAATTGGAATATATACTGCACATCTAAATATTCTAAGATAAAAAATATTTGGCTCCTGACCAAAAGCCAATTGTATTGGGGAGACTTTATGATAACTTGTGGGTCTGATCCGCACAAGAGCTGCTGTATGCAAAATAGCATGGCCCCATGCCGAAATGAAAAGCTTTGTCTTCATAAGCATTGGTCTAGCAATTAATTGGAGGTGTTTGATCAATGTTTCCTCTAGACCATTTAGAGTATGAACATGAGCAACTGGATGCTCAAATATTATCCCAGTTGATATGCAATAATCATTAAAGGCATGGGACGTAAATTCACCAGCATTATCAAGACGAAATATCTTAATTACATAATCTGGAAACTGTGCTCTTAATCTTATTAATTGAGCTAGTAATCTCGCAAAGGCCAAATTGTGGGTTGATAACAAGCACACGTGTGACTATCTTGTAGATGCATCTATCAAAACCATATAATATCTGAATGGTCCACATGGAGGGTATATGGGCCCACATATCACCCTGTATACATTCAAAAAATACAGGAGATTCAACTTCAACTTTAATTACCGATGGTCTAATAATCAGCTTTCCTTGAGAACATGCAGCACAAGAGAATTCTTTAGTTTGAAGAATCTTCTGGTACTTCAATGAATGACCATGTGAATTCTCAATTATTTTGCGCATCATATTATTACCGGGATGGCCCAACCGGTCATGACAAATAATAAAATCATTAGTAAACTCCTTGTTTACTATGGCATGTGATTCAACTACACTAATATTAGTGTAGTATAATCCGGAAGAAAATGCGAAAAGCTTTTCAAGTACATACTTCTTTTCCGCTTTTATTGTAGTAATATAAAGGCATTCAACCTTCCTTCATCGGTGGTCTCAATATGATAGTCATTTTGGTGAATATCTTTGAAACTCAACAAGTTTCTTTGAGACCTACTACAATATAATGCATCATTAACAGCCAATATAGTTCCTCCTGGTAGTAATACAGTCGCTCTTCCAGAGCCCTCAATTAATTTTGTACTACCAGATATTGTTATTATATTGGCTTCTTTCATAATTAAATAAGAGAAATATCTCTTATCTTTTAATATGGTGTGCGTCGTAGCACTATCCAGAAGACATATTTCTTCTTTATTATTCATACGGATAACTGAAGACTGGGAAGTTTTCATATTCTTCAAGAAGAAAAAAAAAATACATCATAAGTAATATTGAAAAATTTAAGAACAAAAGAAACTGCATTTATGAAATTAAATACTGACAACATAAAAAGTTTTATTCAAAATATGAACTTCATTAAAAGAAATACATTTATTCTTATAATTTTTTTCAATAATAAATCTTCAGTTATGATGCTCAAAGAAGTCTTCAGCTTCTAAATGAGTAATATCTACAAGGCCTTCAAAACTATTATATTTATAGGCAAGGTTTGCTTCAACTTTATCATGATTATTCATAGGACCCCGCCTCAACATCATTTTGAAAAGTCAAGTGAGTCTCAATTTTATTTTGTTTCCCTTTTATAGATGCTTGATAAAGTTTGACAAAATGTTCAGGTGTACGATAATTCGTGCCCAATGATTTTTCATACCACATCGGTGGCAAACATTACCTTTGCCTTTTGAAGGATTATTCTGAGAACCCTTATTGTTCTCTTGTTTATAACGACCACCACCATGGCGATTATTATTTCGCCCTTTGTCACGCCCACGTATATTTATACGGGCACGATAATTATTTTGTCTTTTTTCAGACTTTGGATCTATCGTTCCCAGATTCGCTTCTGGAAATGGAGCTGATCCAGTGGAGCGGGCTTCATGATTTTTCATTAAAAGGGCATTATGTTGTTCAGCCACCAAAAGGCATGAAATTAACTCAGAATATTTCTTAAAGCCCTTTTCACGGTATTGCTGCTGTAACACCATATTTGAGGCATGAAAAGTGGAAAGAGTCTTTTCCAGCATGTCCTCATCATTCATAGGTTCCCCACATAATTTTAGTTAGGAAATTATTCTATATACAACAGAATTATATTCACTTATGGTCTTATAATCTTGTAGCCATAAGTGCATCCACTCACAACGAGCTCTTGACAGTACCGTGGCCTTTAGGTGGTCATATCGTTTCTTCAAACTAGTCCATAATTGAAATGGATCTTTCAAGGTTAAATATTCACTTTTTAACCCTTCATCGAGATGATGGCGAAGGAAAATCATGGCTTTTGCCTTATCCTGACTTGATGCTTCATTTTCTTCTTTAATAGTGTCACCAAGACCTTTTAGCGTCAAAGTGAATTTCAGCATCAAGTACCCATGGCAAATAGTTATTCCTAGAGATGTCAAGTGGCATAAATTCAAGCTTTGACAAATTCGACATAGTGAAAACTATCATAGAAATAAGTGAATTAGAATGACAAGAATTATTATCAATTCAGTGCAGTACATAATCTTGTATTAATATTCTATATGTAAAATTATCAAACAAATAATTATGTGCAGTGCGATGATAAATTAGTTTGTACACTTAGGTGATAAATTTATTGAAGACACATTTAAACCTTTTAAAAATTTTGCAAGAATTCCTTCTAAATGCATATTCTGTTAGAATATTTGGATGTGGGCTTAATTAGTCTAATTATTGTAATTCAATCTTAATACTTATTTATTTATGTGTAGGATTAAACTTCTTCGTAATTTATATAATGAAATAACAATTTAACCGAAACTTATTATTTTCATACCAATGCAATTATTATGATCATATTCAAAACAAGTTATGCGTATGGTAATTAAATTGCAGGTTAAAGAAGATCCTAATAGAAACGTTATAAACATAGGAATGTATACCTGAATCAGAAAAGAAACTGACTACCTTTTTTAGGAAGAAGATAAAATTCGGATGAAGCAGATAACCTCAGTTGGTTAGAACCTCGTACTGATAACATGTTAAGAAATGGGAGCAAAATAGAACAATATAGTAATGGAGACAAGATATATAAGAGAAAAATGTAGAAATTATCTTATAGTGTGTTTCTTGTGTCTACTTTCATGGACAAAGAATATCCTATTTATAGTATACAAGATAACACCTAAAGTTCACCAGATATATCTTAAAAATTAATATGTACATCTATCTAAGTAGTACATTGAATAATATGTACGTATGGATTAAATGAACATACATATACATTCATTTTATTTCATAACAAAGTGTAGTAATACATTTGGCTGGTCAACCTTCCTGTAAATATATCCCTGTTATATTTGTTTGATGTCATTTTTTAATCTTTTATTAATATGACGAAACTAATAAAAAATTCCAGACCCTTGAATATTTATTGGACAGATGGCATGTAGTGGACCGTTTATCACTGGAGCAGAGCCGCTCCCGGTAATTTGGGTCTAGAAATAGTAAAGGGTTTATGACAAAATCCAAAAAGAGCGGGACAAAGCATAACAGTAACAACCCCTCCGGTTGTAAGTGTCTGAACGCTAAGACGACGTCGTTGCATGTGGACTGCGAATTGAAATCGTAGACAAATCAATCAGAAGAAAGACAGAAGCAAAAAAAGAATGGTGCACAGTGCCTACGATTCCTTCGAACTCCTCAATAATTGTCCCACAAAAATCGATGCCATCGAATCATACGGCTCAAATTTACTCATCGCCTGTTCCGATGGATCGCTCCGCGTTTACGGTCCGGAATCCGCTGTTTCCGATCAATCTCCGCCGTCCGATTTCCACTCCCAAACCTTAGGGCTTCATCAAGAGCGATACGTGCTTGAAAGAAGTGTGAATGGATTCTCCAGAAGACAAATGCTGGCTATGGAAGTTCTCGTATCGCGAGAACTTCTGCTTTCTCTCTCGGAGTCCATAGCGTTCCATCGGTTGCCCAATTTGGAGACTTTGGCTGTGATAACTAAGGCTAAAGGTGCAAATGTATACTCATGGGATGATAAAAGAGGGTTTCTTTGCTTCGGCAGGCAAAAGAGAGTTTGTATTTTCAGACATGACGGTAATGACTTGAATTGAAGCTTAATTGCGATATTTGTCAATTGAATATTTTACATTGTTGTCATGGTAATGCATTTTCTGGTGATTCTAGATGAGTGAATGCGTACTTCTTCAGTGTCTGCTAGATGTGAAAGGAAGTGCTTTTCCTTCCGAGTGATTTTCAGGGGTCCGAATTAGCTGCTTTACTTGTTCTTGCTACTAAAGAAATCTACTGTATTTTTTTGTCTATATGACAATATTTGATTGGACATAGAGATATCAACTTGATTTATATGTTATAATAGTGAAAGTAGAAAAACAATTATTATAAGGGCTGACATGATAGTTTGATATAGAAAACATCAGATACCTTTGAAAAAGTTAAATAGTTTAATAATTTGAATGTTTAAAAGTTGTACAGAAATGGAATGGTACAAACATTTTTTGACGTCCAAAAATAGGAGTATTACATAAGTTCTTTACTACTTTTACTTTAACACAAGTTCATCAATGCCCGTAATTTCTTTCTCCTTGCAGTTGGTGACTTTCAGGTTACTTGATCAAAGCAGTTTGGCTATTGATGACTAGTATTTTTCTCATGCTATAAGAATTCTGTTACTGTAATGTGATTCTTATCTGAATCTTCTATAGGGGGAAGGGGATTTGTGGAGGTGAAAGAATTCGGGGTCCCTGACACAGTCAAGTCGATGTCATGGTGTGGTGAGAATATTTGCTTGGGGATTAGAAGAGAGTACATGATATTGAATACCACCAATGGTGCATTGTCTGAGGTGTTTCCTTCAGGGAGGATCGCCCCACCTCTTGTGGTGTCTCTTCCCTCCGGAGAACTTCTTTTGGGAAAGGTAATGTTGTCACTGTCATTATTACATTGAGTTGATTAGCCTTATAGTTCTTTGTCACACTCATGCACACAACACTATGACTTGATGGACCAAGGTGGGCCATCGAGTGTTGTTACTTTCAAATTCTTCTTACCAGAGCCTCAATGAATCCATGGAGCAGGGAAAATCTGCTTTTACTTCTTATACTAATTCATTAGTATGATGTACCCTCTATCCTTATTCCCTGGATACAGTTGTTTCTGTAGAATCTATAGTCTACTCTATGACTTAGTTGATGAAGCCCTTGTGGATGATCTCTTTCTTTTCTCTAGTCAAGTCCTGATCTTTGAAAACTATCTGTACTCCCATATGATATTAAGTGTTGTTTCAGGATAATATTGGTGTCTTAGTTGACCAAAATGGCAAGTTGATTCAAGAGGGGAGGGTTTGTTGGTCCGAGGCTCCTGCAGCTGTTGTTATTCAGAATCCCTATGCAATAGGTCTCTTACCACGGCATGTTGAGGTAGCTTGAGTGTTTAGCTTGTTAAGCTGTTCTTTTTGTTCTTTATTAGGTATAAATAATCTGGAAAGATAATGCAGTTTGATCTTTTGGAATATTGCAGATACGTTCTCTTCGTGTTCCTTATCCTTTAATTCAAACAGTTGTCCTTCGGAATGTTCGCCGTGTTGTTCGAAGCAACAATGCTGTTATTGTTGCTCTTGATTATTCTGTTTTTGGCTTTTTTCCTGTTCCTCTGGGTGCACAGGTAATTATTACTCTGAAAGCTTTAGTTTAATATCATGTTGAAGTTATCTTGCTTATGCTTCTAATCCAGTATTGGAACTCTAGCACGTTCATGTCTCCTTGTAACCGAAATTTCATTTTGGAGCGACTGAGGTTTGTCATTAAACTGAGACGAGAATGCCTTAGGCACTCAAATGGATGCCTAAGTCTTGCAAAATAAATCAATATTGCAAGTTGTACCTGATCTTGATTAATGTTGTTTACGAGACCCGCATGAGCCACAATAATATTTTTTAAACTTTTACTTATCAAAAATGATGAGTTTAGCTTACAGTTTTATGAAAAAAAATCGCGAAAATATATGTTGACTGAGAATATTGTCCAATTTAGATAAAAGAGAAAAATGCTGCATATTGTCCAAATATTAATGCTCCCCATCCCCTTGTATATTATATAGTTTGACTTGGAGTATTGTCTATGAATTTTGTTTGACTCGTATATGACATTCATGTGGTCAAAGAAAAGATCAAATTAAATGTTGCAGTTCGTTTGCACAACTGATTTAATTGAAAAAACATCAGAATGTGATTTAATTTAGTTTCCAATGTTAAATTTGGGAAGTCCCCCAAAGTGAAACTCTGTAATATATATACCTCAGAGCTGGGGCTTTAGTTATTACCATTGTATTTTAGCTTCATGATTTACCATCACTGGAGTGCCCTAAGTCAATTACTATTAGTATTTTGCTGAGGGGATGGAGATTGGAGGATGTTAGTGTTAGAAACAGTATGGATGTTGGAAAAAACTGTGAGAGTTTGACTCCACTGGGTCCAGGGTATTTCTTGGTCATAGAAAAAACTGCTTCTTATTTCAGAGAATTGCGAGTGTGATTCCAACTTCTCTCTATAATGCAGATTGTACAACTAACAGCATCTGGAAACTTTGAGGAAGCCTTGGCTTTGTGCAAATTGCTACCGCCAGAAGATTCAAGTCTTAGAACTGCAAAGGAGCAATCGATTCATATAAGGTCATTCCCCCGACCCTGCGTTTAGGGAAATTTTGAGCTAGGTCAATGGCAATAGTATCTCATCTAGATCATTTTCAGAACCTTCTTGGCGTTTATATTAATGAAAGTTTTACTTAATCTGAACCAAAAAAAAATATCCCATTTAGGTCATGGTCACACTAACCCCGTGCGCGCGCCAGGGAATTTAACCAATTTTTATGTTAACATTGCAGTTCAGTAATGATAGTTTCTTGTTAAGTCGTAGTTAATTAAATGTAATATTTTCTTATATGATGTGATAGCGCATACATGTTTACATTTAACACAAGTTACAAATAAATAAGCTCTAGTGAGGGAAGCTGAATGTCTANGCCACAGCTGAGGGAACTGAGGAGGTGGTTTCAGATGCTGTAGGAGATAATTTCATTTCCTATGGAACTAGCCGGTCCAAAAAACCAACCAAGGTAACTTTTCTGGTTTCTATCTTATGCCCCATCTACAGTGTTTTGGAGAAATTATTTTTAAGGTCACAATTAAAAGGCAAAGTTTTGACATTAAGCAGATCTCTTCTTGGTAAATGTGACTAGCAGTGTATTTCAGTATTTTTGAGCAAAGCTTTCTAGAAATTCCAAAGACTCCACAAGGGGAATTTTATCCAGGTGGTTATCTTGTTTAACAAGCAGCCCAAATTATATTGAGCTGTTTAACATAGACCTTTCTTTGCATCCAAGTGTAAGTACCTTTCTGGTTGTTTGTGTGTTTGACGTATTTAAATACTGAAAACCATATCAGAAAGAAAAACTTCAGTTAGTCCAAAATACTCTGATTGATTATTCAAGCTAGATCATTTATATCCTTCCGAAAAATACTGTTTCTTTTGTATCTTCCAAAATTCTGAATGTCAGGGAGGTAAGTTCTGATCTGCTATTTGCAAAAGTACTGGCTTATTGTAGTTGAGGTCTACTGAATGGAGAAATCACTTAAAAGGGAAAAATACTAATGTGTCTCAAAGAGCCGTTGGTACCGGGTTAATTCTTTGTAGCTGTATTAATTCTTACCTAATTTACATCTAAAATGTAGCTTCTTTGATCCATTTAGGGAAGAACCCATGCTCCAATCACTTCCGTCGCTAGGGATATGGCTGCTATTCTGGACACTGCACTTCTTCAAGCTCTACTTTTAACTGGACAGTCCTCAGCTGCTACAGATTTTCTGAAAGCCCTCAACTATTGTGATGTGAAAATATGCCAGGAGTTCCTGCAGAAAAGAATGCAGTATGCTTGTCTGCTAGAACTTTATAGAAGCAACTCAATGCATCGTGAAGCACTGAAACTTCTCCATCAATTGGTAGAAGAGTCGAAGTCAGAGCAAATTCCTTTAGAGCTTTCAACGAAATTCAAGCCTGATATGATCATTGAATATCTCAAAGTATGCATCTTTATCTACTTTTATTTCTTTCCTTTTGGATTTTAACTTCTCGTAAAGTGTTTGGATCAGCTATGTTGAAGTTTGGCGGGCAGTATGAGTTATGGGTCCATGTCGAGGCAGAATTCAAGCATAATCATGAGTTTCCAACTTCACCTTTGCGGAAAGGATTGTCAAGATTTCAGACTGATATTAGGAGTCTATTTAAGGCTTTTTTTTATAAATTAAAAAAATATCTTTGTACATGTACATTTCTGGAAACTCCTGGGTTCTTTTCTTTTGTAAACTGCATTTGTGCTCACCACAAAGTAAAGCAAATCTCTCTGCAAGGAATTTTATGGAACAAAGCTTCGTCAATGCTGTTATTATGTCAATTCAGTAAATATACACCTGATTATATTGTCTTTCTGTTTTGGCAGCCCCTTTGTGCAACAGACCCCATGCTTGTCCTGGAGTTCTCACTGCCTGTTCTTGAAAGCTGTCCTATGCAAACCATTGAGCTATTCTTGTCTGGTAACATTCCAGCAGACTTGGTGAACTCTTACTTAAAACAGCATGCTCCAAACATGCAGGCGACATATCTGGAACTCATGCTTGCCATGAATGAAAATAGCATCTCCAGGAATCTGCAGAATGAAATGGTAGGGCACTTGTTCATCAGTCTGGTTTTTCTGTAGCTTCACTCTTTCTTTCCAAGGATCCTTTCAACTCAAAGCTGGATTGAGAAAATTGAGAACAATTTTCTTGACTCCAAAACTGTTTATCGGTGGATAAATTTGTGCTTCAATTCCATCCTTCTGACGTAAATGTTGAGTGTCTGTGACTATGATAAATACGCTTAGTAACTTGTGGCAGGTGCAAATTTATCTCTCGGAAGTGCTTGATTTGTATGCTGAACTTAACACCCAGCAAAAGTGGGATGAGAAAACATATTCTCCGACAAGGAAAAAGCTATTGTCTGCTTTGGAGAGTATCTCTGGATATAACCCAGAGGTGCTGCTGAAGAGACTTCCACCAGATGCTTTGTATGAAGAACGAGCAGTTCTGTTGGGGAAAATGAATCAACATGAACTTGCGTTGTCTATTTATGTGCACAAGGTATTTTTTTCCACCTCAACTGCACATAACATTCTTTTTGGAGTCTTTTATTTAATGCATTGGTGCTTTCGAAGGGACTTAAGATGTCGCGAAATCTAAACTGTACAATTTCTTCTTCATAAGTACTATTAAAGGCTTGTATTATGAACTTGGCATTTACTGTTAGATCTATTGACTAATCGAGCAGCCAATCCCAGTAGTGCGATCATTTCACTCTTCTTTTATTCAGTGTACCTGTTGGTCAGGCATGTTAACCTTCTCATGGTTTTATTACATCATTGGATTTGCATTTACCCTTTCTTTCTCTGTATGTTATTGGGCTAGTATGCATTCCCAAGTAGGGGCATTGCATTGGATATGCCATCTTTTTTCTCATTGAGCATACATGTCTAATTCTATGAATTTTGATGGCAGGCATTGAAGTCTTTTCAGTTGTCTCTTTGTGTTGTATTTACCAGCTTGAATTGTGGGTGTTCTTTCATACTAAAGTGAATTGCTGTGTTTGATTGATAGCTTCACGTTCCTGAACTTGCACTGTCCTATTGTGATCGGGTGTATGATTCAGGACTTCAACAACATTCAGCAAAATCATATGGAAACATTTACCTGACTCTACTGCAAATCTATCTAAATCCTACGAAGACAACGAAAAATTTTGAGAAGAAAATTACTAATCTGGTATCATCTCAGAGCCCTGGGATTCCAAAAGTTGGTTCAGGAACTACAGCAAAGATAAAAGGAGGCCGCTCCAAGAAAATTGCTGAAATTGAGGGCGCTGAGGACATTCGATTCAGTCCAAGTGGCACTGACAGTGGTAGGAGTGATGGAGATATGGAAGATGCTGCTGAAGAAGGAGATTCTACTATTATGCTAGATCAAGTTCTTGATCTTTTGAGCAGAAGGTGGGATCGGATCCATGGGGCCCAAGCTCTGAAACTACTGCCAAGGGATACGAAGCTACAGGTAGAAAACCATATGAATGTGATGGTATAATGAGCTAGATGAAGAAGTTTGTTGCTGTTTTAAATTTTAATCAAAATTTGGCTGAAGAAAACAAGCACTATTTTTTGCTTGCAGAAGTGATTGTCTCAGAAAAGAAACTAGAGACAGTGTCCGCTATATCATCATCCCCCATCCCCCATCCCCGGCCAAAAACCAAAAAAAATGTCTCACTAGAAAACAAGCTAAGATATCTGTTCAAGAGTGAGTCCTATCTGCATCTGAGCACTAATCATGTTAACACGTCCCAAATTCCCAAGGCATTGTTTTTAGATTGGACACTGTCGTTAAACTGTATATTGGATATTTCCAACCATATTACCTTTAAATATTTACTTTGAGATAATACACATACACATTAAGAAAGCTGCAAGGTGAAGTTTGTTTCGATTTGTCTTTCAAATGGTCAAGTATATCGAATTGTGTTTGAAACAACTATGCCAACTAAATTACTATCTAATGCTAGTCCACATGCACTGTTATGTATCGTGTCTGTCAGCATATTGCTGATTCTCTTTGGACAAAGAATTGGTTCAGTTTTTCTTTATGCTCTCTCCCAGCATCAAGTTATAATGAGAAGATTACGTAGTAGAGCCTTTATGATTTTCTAAAAGTTCGACATATACGCATTGTTGGAGTAGCACATGCAACATTGTTTATTTGTTTTAAGTAAACTTCCTCTCATGCCCAGACATGTTAAAATTGCAACTGGAGAATCATTCACTCTAGCTTTGCCCTGTGCGTGAGCAAGAATGTTTCACATCTTGCTGTTGTACTGTTGTATTGAGTCATTTTGGCATTATGCAGAATTTGCTTCCATTTCTTGGACCTCTTCTGAGGAAATCCAGTGAAGCGTATCGGAACTTTTCTGTGATAAAAAGCTTGAGAGAAAGTGAAAACCTACAGGTAAATTTTATATGTGGTCATACCAATCAATTACACACACACATTTTCTTTACTGGTATGCGAATCATCCTTCTTTTTTCCATCTATTTTTCTGTATTATGGTAACCGCCAATTATCATCTTTGCAATTCAATTGTTTGAGTTTATGTTAGCAAATGCAAATTTGAAAATTAATCCTGAGAATATTTTAATTTCTACGACTAGATTGTTTACTAAAGCTGTGGTTTAGTATTTGATCTCTCATTATAAAGCTGTGTACACAACAGGTCAAAGATGAACTGTATAACCAAAGAAAGGCAGTCTTGAAGATCACAAGTGATAGCTTGTGTTCTCTCTGCAACAAGAAGATCGGCACCAGTGTCTTTGCAGTCTATCCTAATGGCAAGACAATTGTGCACTTTGTTTGCTTTAGAGATTCACAGAATATGAAGGCAGTTGGAAGAGGCTCTCAGATGAGGAAAAGATGATAATGAGAAGTTAGATTTGGATTAACTGAGTTTTCTGGGTTGCTTTTATGTGGCATTGATCGCAGTTCTCCTTGTTAGTACCGTTTAACATATTCTGCGGCTTTAAGTTTTAAGTTGCCATTTATTCCTAAAAGTAAACTTCTGTCTCCGTGTTTCTGGAAGTGTTCTGGTGTGTTTGCGTGATTATTGACTCATTGACTGTATACCAAGAGATATGAAACGTGCTGGTGGTACACACGTGCAAGCAAGAATGTTTCTCACAAGGGAATGTGTAATACACATGTTGTATATTATGTCAAACGTTGAAGTAAAATCTGTGGTTGTGTAATGTGAGTCTGTATTGAAAAAGATTGAAGCTAGTATTGGAGGTGTTTATAACTTATTTATGAAGAGTGTCTTTGAATGCTGTGTTTGTACCAACTCAATGTTCAATTAATATGCAATGATACACAATTTTCTTTGTTGTTCGTATTTCCATGTAAAAGCAAAGAGCGTTTTACTTCTTTGTTGGGCAAACCCCACTGTTAAACATGACAACAAGATTCATACTGAGATCAAGCGTTGGTTGACGACAGTGGCTCTCTTGAGGCTATCTTTTCCCCGTGAAAAGGTACACAACCACCCCAATCCTAGACCCATCAGATGGAGGCTCTGTATGTATGATTTGGACATCAAAAAGCTTCTTAGCTCTCTTGAAGAATACAGATTCCTTCTTCCATCTTCTCAAATGAGCCATCACAAAAGCTATCTTCTTTTCACCCCCTAACAGGAAGAACTTCAGCGTTTTAATCAGAGGATCATAGAGGTGATCATGGTACACCACATCAGATCCCAAAATCAGGTCATAATCTCTACCAACAGCCTCCATATCCTGGCTCTCCCCCCAGCTAAGTGCCGCAACATCAACAACCCCACTCTGCTGTTCCAAAACCTTAGAGTTCGCATCAGCATTAAACTGTATATTAGGCAGAACATGAGGGAGATCAGTGACAGTAACCTTAGCACCAAGAATTGCAGCAGCAGCTATCCCTACAACACCTGTTCCTGAACCCAGTTCAAGAATGCGAAGGGGTGAATCCCCTTTTTCTTGACGTTTGAACAAGTCGGAAAGCGGAGTTGATGCGCCACGGATGTTGTCAAGGAGAGTGATGAGAATGGTGGCGGCAGGCCATAGTTGGAAGGAAAGACCTTGAGATGGGAGTTGCCTGATGACAATGTTGGAGTTAATGGATTGGAAAAAATAGACTTGTTGCTGCTGCTGCTGAGGTGCATGATTCGCGTCTTTGTCTTGACCATCTTGTAGAAGAAGCATACTGAAAGGATTGAGGTTGTCTTTGTCTATGTCTGTGGCAATTGGAGTAGTCATGTGACAGGCGGCGCTCCCGGGGTTCTCGAAGGATTTATCCTAGCCAATCACACTTGCGGAGGTCTTGCCCTAAATGGGTATATATTAGAATCAAAGCCTTTTTCAATAGATGGTAAATGATATTACCGAAAATATAATATAAAATGGTCAAGTTGCCAAAAATAGCTTGACGGACGGTAGTGAATAAAAAAACCAAAATCGCACTGAGTGCAAGTTGCCGCAGGTGCAGGCGACTTCACAACCTGTTGATTGTTCTATCTTAGTAGCGTGAATATGATATCAATTCTAGGGTAAAATATTTTTTTATATATAATTATGGTATCCGGGTCAGTTTGCGCACATCTTCATTAATTCCACGATGTACGTGCTACCTCTTACTAATATAATATCGAAATTCTGTCCACTGAGACTTGGACAAATAAAAAGAAATCACATAGTATTTAGATTTGAACCTCAGATCTTATGGTTCTCAGTTCTCATTAGTACCGGATATTTATCGTAATATTTTAACATATTAAGAGAGATGAAATTAATTATTTCAAAGAATTTCGAATTTAATTCAGCGGGTTTGAAATTTATTATTTCTCTATGCATCCCAATATAATGGATGAAAATCATTTTGTCCGTCTAACTTTGCTTAAAATAATTTCCTCCTACAACTTTAAACCATAGATATTTTTACCTCCTATCTCAAGTAATGCCTTTTTTGCCCGGTAAATTATCATTCTCCCCTCTTAATTGTTTTTTCTCTGTAATACACTTTCATTATTATTCTTTAATATGAAATCATTACCTATAATTCAAATGACATGGTATCTTACTTTTGATTGTGATTACGTATAAATATAGAATTAGTTCTTTTATAGATTTGTTATAAATCTATGACTTTATTTTTAAAATAAACGTCATTTTAGTATTACATGCATTAGATATTTAATTCTCATAATTCCCACACCTCTTTTGTTTTCAACTTTCATAGATAGACATTGAGTCGATCGCTATTAATGAAGTTATTGGCACGAGCAATTTCAATTTTTGTAAATTTTTAAATTATTTTTGGTGCTCAAAATTCTTTCATTATTCAAATTTCTTTTCCTAATATGATTGAGCTAAGTGGAACAAAGCATAAATTAACTTCAAGGAGACAGTAAACCTGAGAATACGAAGTATTAAAGAAACTACACACGGCGCAACTCATTTATATAAAGGGCCGTGCATTGAGAACTTAGAGAATGAAACATGAATTTAGAACATTACGAAAGCAATGAAAAAGAAGAAAGTTTATCATGTTTAAAATCTGCATGAAATCATTCACAGGCTCGTTTCGAGTCAAAGCTGGTCAAGCAGATCGCAAAAGCTTGGAAAGCAGAAAGTGGGTAGCGGTAGTCCATTGTGAACCAGTCATTTCCAATTCTGCCAAACTGTAGAATTGTTTTCTCTTGTTCTGCGACTGGTATATTGTGAGAAGGATCAACTGCTGCCAGTAGCTGAAAATTTTTCACAGAAGCCACCGTAACACGGCCTTTAAAATTTAAGCACCAGTATTGCAATTGTTTATGCCATCTAGGAGCCTTGTTTTTTAGCAAAAGCGGCGAATCAGACAAGCTGATATCTATAGCTGGCTCCTTTGTTTTTGAGAGTGGTGTAGAAAATGACTTCTCATCAAAAGATTGAGGGAATGATGTAGGTGTTGGAGCATTGCCTCCCTCCTGGATTGAAGAGAAAGGGATAGAGTGCATTGCGCAATGAATTCTCCTAGGACGACGAACAATATTGAGCTCATAGGAAATGGTAGCTACTCTGTAGTTGCATGCACCTGGAGAAATTTTCTTTGCTTGAAAGCTTTGACCAACTCGACCTTGTTCAATGGCAGTTTCGCTTGAAGGTTGGCTATCATATATGGAAAACTTGGTTCCAACAAAGTTAGACCTGGTCAAGTGGTTTTCAAACATTATTAAAGTAAAATGAAGGGGAGTAGAAGCTTTTCCTTGCTTCCTGCTATTTTGAAGGGGCGGAGAGGAGTGAGTGAAGGAAATATAACTGGAAATTTGATAGAACTTGCCTCAGTTTCCCAACATATGTATTGCTAGATTGAGAAAAATCATCTGCAGCCAACGATATCACGAAGTCTGTGCTTGTTGCCCTTCTGATCTTTTTGGCGGCCAACAATAGTTTATCCCTCTCATTCTCAGCTGTCATCAAGTAAAATGTCAGTTGAGCATCTTCTATTGACTAGGAAGATTTTCCCATTAAAAACATAGACCACAAACTTAAGCACAAGTTATGAAAGCTTTCGCATTTTCAATCCGGTATACTAACTTGATATCAAACATAATATAACATCAGCCTGAGTGCAAGTTCCCCATAAAGTAGGATTTTTGAATTTTGACAAGACAAAGTCTGTTAATTGATCAAATAAAAGAAAGACTTGAAACTGGTTCAAAGAGAGAATCATTTAAGAGGATATCCATCTCGCAGTACAAGCGTTAAAAGAAGAGAAGTTTAGGATAGGCAGAAGATTTTCACTTACATGGAATCATACCCAAGTAGAGGCGATATACTGAATTAGCTTTGTCCCTTTTAATAAAGCACTGGATTGGGGATTCACGGGGACCCGGCTGGTTTAGAAATGGAATCAGAAAAGATCTCTCTGAGTTTAAATCAACATCAGCAATAGCAACAATAAGGAAACTGAAACAGATAAAAGAGATTACCTGCTTCAGTGAAATGGGAAAGGTAAGCCTACCACATTCCTCAGGAGTCTTAACAATCTCCTTTGTAATTTTCCTCCATGATCTGCAAACAGATGCGCAAAAGACAACGACAGAACGAGCAGGCCACGATACCTCACTCTCTTCAACCCTGCGGATGATATCCAAAAGCACTTTTGGTGGTAAATTTGCCCACTGCCCTTGTTCAATGGGATCAGAAAGGGCCACATATGGGACAATATGTGACCGGGTTCTGTTGCTCCAATGCTGCTTTCTTTCTGCTCCCCTCCTTGATATATTCCCTATCCCATCTTTCATCTCCCTTAGCTCGCGAACAATTTTCTTGAAAGACATTTCCATCAATCACACGAACTGACCCTTTCCTTCAACAGAAGGGCAAAGCATTTAGATCAATGAAACAAAGAGGAGCTTTACCTCAGAAAGAACTTTCAGACAATTTTCACCTTTTAAACACATGAATCATTCAATCAACTAAGCCACAATTCCAACTTTTATGGGTTGACTATATGATTTTCCTTTAGGTTGTAAATATTCTGCTATATTCGGGCCCAATCTAATTCCATACTAAATTGGTCTTTTAAGACAAATTTTGAGATTATCTAGAATAGTAGATGTTCTTTAATCGAACATTTATCTATTCACTGACATACAAGTCTTTTACCGGACTGAAAAAGCTCTCATGAAAACCCAACCTAATCTAGATGTAACATCAATACGCCACAATCCCAACAAGTCGGTATTGCCTATTATCCACATACACCATATCTTCAATTATCAGATCTAACACGGAGGTTTAGCCTCTCTGTTTTAATTAAAAATCAATATACCTAGTTTTTTTCTTTTTGTGAGGGATTGAGAAGAAGAAATGCAAAAAAGGTATGGACATGTAACCATTCAATGATCAGCACTGGAATTACACAAATGAGAGACGAATAGTCCAGCGAATATTAGAAATATAAATCATTTGTAGAACATCCTACGATTCAAAATCAAAACTTAGCACTCAGATGTTCCCAAAATGAAGATTTAGCAACAATAACAATCAGAAAATTAAATTGCACGTGTATTTATAAGAGGTAAAATAATACACAATGAAATAAAGGACAACAACGCAAAATTAAAATGTAAGATCCCATAGCATTTCTATACTAGCTCCGCTGAAAACCAAAAGCAAAGTCAACATGAAACTAGGGTGAAGAACAGAAAATAAAGGGAAAATAGGAATTGCAAAGCAGAAATGCGTAGTAAACAGAGAAAATGGCAGGAGAAAACCTGAACAAAGAGTGACAAAGAAGATGAAAGCGATGAAAGAAAGCTCTAAATGTAGAGATTGAAGAAGGAAAATAAATAGGAGACAGAAACACGGCCAGTGAGGTCCACATCTTCAGGAGGAACCCTGGATCAGCATCTGTCAATTCAGCCTCTTAAATAAAAGCTAAAAAAGAGACATTACACTTCTTTTCTTCCTTTTTTCCTCTCCAGATAACTGCCAATATAAGTTTTTTTCTGAACAAGTTCAAACATCGCATTCCTCATAGATGGAAGCCCCGCGACAGAGTAATTGAAAACCTCAAATACCCTTCCTCTTTTTACTATAGACATTAAAGAGAAATCAATCAACTATTCCTCAATCCCAAACTAATCGGAATTCACTAGACACATTCTCTATAATTCTTCAAGTTTATTATTCAGTGGTTAGAGGGGTTTTATCATTATTAGACTACTATTACGCTTGCCATCAACCTAAGACAACTCTCTCTCTCTCTCTCTCATTATGCTTTGCGAAGCTCACATAGGAAGCATGCATTCCAGATACTAAATGAGGCATAAAATCCCTCCACTGTGCATGGCCATTTAAATTATAGAATCACAAGTGTAGTTGGTGATAACTGCAGCGAAAGAGCACCAAAATACGTGAAACCAAAAATTTATACTCCATATCTGATGAAGCATCATTATCTCACCAGAACTTTTTTTTTTGACTAGTGAGTTTAAATACAAGCAATTTGAGATAAAGACTATTTATTACATTAAACATGCTTAAATTATTGGAACAATGGTATATTTACTTAACATGAACAAGTTCATGATTTTGTATATAACCTCCCCGAATATGTGTAGGGAGACTCCTATTAGAACAAAAGCTTTCACCTTTTTAGAAATGAAGATTCAACTTTTCTCAAAATCTCAACTCGTGCAATATAGTTCAACGAAGCTATTGAACGATCAAAAACAAACAGAGACTCAAAGGAGATTCCAACCAACTGATTATCAGAGTCCTTAAAAAGTGGAAAAGAGAATGCAAAAATAAACAAATAACTAAATAGCTTCATTCTAGTGTCATCATCATCAACAACAACAACAACAACAACAAAAACAAACCCAGTAGTTTCCCACTCTAGTGTCATCAACATAAAACAAAATAAAATATATATTATGACGCAAAGGGTGGGGGAAGAACCGAAGGAGAAGGAGACCATATATAAAAGTTTGATCTTTTTCTTTAATTAGCAAAAATATTTTTTGATAAGTTAAATAAAAGATGATACTTTTAGAACACAAACAGATTGATGAACCCCAACAGCAAAAGGGAGGCAGAAATTAGTACAGGACTGTAAGAGTTGGCAAATGGTAAAAATGAAGAAAGAAGAAGTCAGAAACAAAAACACATGAATCAAAAGAAATTTAAAAAAAAAAGGAGATCATAATCTCAACTAGGGAACATAAGAGAAAGAAAAGAGTTAGTTAATGGTACCTTTTGAAGAAACCGCAGAGAAACCAACAAGGCAACAACCCTGCAACTCAAGGGTCGAAAAGATGTTCCACGGGAAGTAGAAATCTACAGATATGTGTATTTATATATAGATATTGGGGGATAACAGAGCTACACCATCCATAGGTCTCTTATAATTACAATGTATATCTTATTTACTCAGTACTGAAACTTACGAAAAATAAGGGGTAATAATATATCCCTTAAAAGGAGGCCTTAATTATTCAGAAGTACCAGTAACACCATGCACTTGCATTGCTGCATCAAGCTTCAACTTAATAACTCAAAACTCAATTAATTCATACGTCCTGTTAGCCCCCTTTTCAGCATAAGTATATCCTCACCTCATGCATAACAACTTAATTACTCAAATAAAGCATCCACAGCACTCACAGAAAAAGAAAGTGAATCAAACATTTCCACATATCATCAAACACCTAATGTGCATTTCCATAGGCCAAGATTCAAAATTTGTCCACAACTCATTTCTAAATAGACCACAACAAGATTTTGAAATAACAATGATGAAATAACACGACTTGTAAAGAGTAGTAATAAATTGATGTAATAACATAGTATTAACTAATTATATGTAACTAATAGAAGTTTTTATATATAAAAACAAATAAAAGATGAGTGCAATAACTCTTTTTTTTTCTTTTAAAAAAAATCTTCCTAATCATATGATTTGAATGGGCTTTGGAGGAGATGACCAAGTGGGTATCTAATTTTAAAATTTCTTTATCAAAAATTTGGCTAATGTGATGGTGGGTATTAGAATTGGCGTAAAGGTATGAAAATGGTGAATGTTAAGGTGGCTAGGTGGTGGAGTAGTGACGATTTTTGAAGATAATAGTGGTAATAGAGTGGTTATTATTATTCTGTATTTCTACCATTGAATGAAGAAAAAAAGCTTGGTTGATTCAGTGCAAAAAATGGAGGAAAAATGGATTTTCTTGATGTGAAGAAGGCTCAATTTTTTTTTTGGGGGGGTGGGGGGAAATCAAAATTGTTTGTTCATCCTAACCATATTGGTAATATATTATAATTATAAGTAATAAATGCATGTAACAACATATTAACTAATTATATCTAAGTAATAAAAATCTATATATATCTATATCTATCTATTTATATTATTATAAAAGCACGAATGTTTTATGCTAAATGTTAAACGACAAAAATATTCTTGAAACTTTGATTGACTTTTATACCCTTAAATAGTTGTATAATTTAAGAATATATTTATAATTAGCGAGGGTTAGAATTCTTTTCAGATTTAAATTGCACATATGCAACCCTACAAAGTTTATAGTTTATTTCCATTAAAATTCATATTAGATACGATTTACATTATTCAATCAAAGTTAAACTTTTCACTAGAATTTTAAACTTTTCACTAGGATTCTTATAATTTATAAGAATTCTTGTCATCGCTGCCACATAGTTCAAGGAAAATCCGATTATTTTATATATTCTCTTCTCTTATTATATCTTTAATCCTCTGCATATTGTCTCGGAGCTTGATATTTTTATATTTTAGTTTTTGAATTCCATATATAATATCATTGGTGATTGATACTTCTTGAGATTTAAGTAATTTTTATGGATTGTAATTGCTCATCCAATTTTTAGTAACTTCAAATTATTCACATGAATTGGTTATAAGTTTAAATTTTCGTAGACTGAAATATTTTATAGTGTGTTTAATACGAAAATTGAACTGAAAAGACAATTTAAAAGTAAACAAAAATTACTATAATACTTAGGAATGTATTTTTACTATACTATTTGCATGAAACTCTATAGAGACTAGACGCTAATGGATATTGTGTAACTTAAAATACTGGTAACTTCTGAATTAGAGCTAAAAATTAACATATAGTGGAATCAATAATTAAAGATTAAAAAAAAGAGATTGTAAAATTTTACTTATAAATTTGAAAATCACAAGTACATATTTTAATGTTAAAAAATTTAGTCTATATAAGATTTTGTTTCATAGGGTATGAGTATGATTCTTTGGAAGGAAATTAGGTGGAATGACTTCTTTGAGTGTGTTTTCTTTGTTATGCATAGCTTTAACGATTTTCAATAGTTTATAAGTTAGAGTAAAATGAAGATATTTAAGAAACTTTGTGATGATTCTAAAAATAAAAATTGAGATTGCTAAGAGCAGGCACTTTCTACTGTTGAGTACTGAATAAATTTTCTCAGACAATAAATGGTTAATGATATTTAGCTACTCAGTATAAAAAGTATTATCTAATTATATTTTTATACAAGTAATAGTACTGCCTAATTGTTGATTTTGATGCTCTAGAAAACGTCTTTTCATTTGAAAAATTTGCCACTCGTTGATACAATTATTGAAAGAACTATATCTCTTGTCATATACTATATTTTTCTAATTTGATATGAATTTATAAAAGTGTTTTATAATATAATTTTTTTTATAGATTAACGCGGAAAATTACGTACTCACGTGAATAGAAACTAGTACTATATTAAAAGTATGAAGGCCCTTAGCGAAATATCGTTCGCCTTTTTTTCCCTTTAAAAATAAATTTCACACTGGACAAAAGTGTAATTTAAGTTTTTTCCATTTTTTTAGGAATTTAAATTAACTAAAATTTTAGTACATAGTAAATCCTTCCATGTTTTGAACTCCTATGCAATTAGTCCTAACTCCTAACATATAGGGCTCACGCAAGAATAGAAACAAAATATTTCTCTGAGGAAAAGAAAACTTAGGCTCACCAAGATTATAATTTGCTTCGCTGACCAATAAAAGAAAGATATCATCTTTGTGTCCATAGTTTAATAAAAAACGTATTGAACTTATTGACAAATTCTATTCTAACCGAATTGTCTTTCAACGAATGATAATTTTCTACGGCATAAACTCCTTAGTGAAATATCGTTCGCCTTTTTTTACCTTTTAAAATTAAATTTTACATTAGACAAAATAATTATTATATTATTTCTTTAAAATTTAGAAATTTAAAATCAACTAAAATTTTGCATATTAAATCATTTTATATTTGAACTTCTATGCAATCCTAATTTTAATAAAAAATATATTCAACTTATAGACGAAATCTATTCTAAACAATTGTCATCATCTTTTTAATTCTTTCAACAAATAATAATTTTCGATATTTCTATATATTTAATTATTTGTTGTAAAATATTAAGCCAACATTAGTAATTTTTAGACGTTATCACTTATCAAAATTTTTATGAGCTATAAGCCAACATCTTTAATCTTAAAAGATCAAAAGATTTAATTTTTAAATTTATTTTATTTAAGAAATCTTATAATTTGTTTGCTTAGGTCATAAATATATCAATAATTTTCATGAAATATTCTCTCGTCCTCATAAATTACAATTATGTATCTCAGGACTTCTATGGCCAAGATTTCTTCACAATCAAGATTCGTCTTTTTAGTAGCTTATACTTTTTATTAACTTTTATTTTACAATATATCTAATCACATTATTAATAATATTTTTTATCACGATTCGAAATTTTCCACCGACGGGACCGTGATGACGCCTAACATTTCACTTGCTAGGCAAGCCAACGTTAGAGAATCACTAACCAATTCCTTATTTTCATTCAGTAATTAGCAATAATTAACTAAGATGAAATATAATAAGTGTGGAATATCATAAAACTGTATTAACTACTAC